GACATGTACATGAGTGCATAGTGCCATGTATGGTAATGGTGTCTACTTGGATTACACCAGTACACTAGCATACCGGTTCACAGTCAATAAAACTGTAAATGATACATGTAATTGTTTTCTACATAAAGATATGACAAACAATGAATAAATGTCAATGTTTTGAACATTCAGTCATGACAAATAGACAAAAGGGTAATACAGGAACTGGGTACCCAATTCCTGTAACAGGAGGGTACCCAGATTCTTGTGATTATTATTAAAATTATAACAAAAAAATCCGGAAGTAAAATATTTGATAGCACATCCCCACCCACTATGTGGCCAAGTTGCTGGTGTGAGCACTGCACTGTGTGTCTGGCAACTAAAATTGTATGGGTCTACCCGTAGTTTGCAACTTAACTGAATTCCATTTTATTCATGAAGAGACTACATGTAAGTGAATAAAATCGCAAGTTTCTGAGTGTGAAATACATCTTAAAATATATCAAATCTGACATTGACTCTCATTTATTATTGGGGCAACATTATAGTGATGTTCACTGAGCAGGCATCAGTCAGCGAATGGCCTACATGGTGAACATGAGTAGGCCATTTGCTGACCATGTACATGCAGTCACACATTAAGGCTAGCAATGATGCAAAATGACAGGTTGGCTGCACCATCGCCAAACAGGCAGTACTAAACATAGCTAATTTAGCCCAAGCTGGCCGGCCTGCAGTAACTGGCCTGTGCAGCACTTGCACGCTTGACACAAACTGCCTGCCAAGTAGCACTTGATGCCTGTGCTTTGATTGGTTCTTCCACAATGAATTCAAAACATGTTTTATTCAGATTTTTTCCGACAATTATCGGCAAGTAATCAATCCACGTAATATTCACAAAAATCAAAAACACAGAATTGGATACCCCTAATAAACAGTCAGGTTGTAGGTACCCAGTTACCTGGCACAGAACCAGACAAGGGCGTTATTCCTTCTATTCCCAACTGAGATTCAACTTCAACAGGTCAACTCAGAGAGTCACTAAAACTAAGAGACGTATCGTGTCAATTCAATAACACTGTGTGACACCAACTGGTGATCACACAAATTTTGACATCGATTGTTGCACTTGGAAGTGAAAGGAAAATAGTTTTGGAACACCTGAAATTGGAATTACATGCATTGAATTTGTGCACAACAAATTTCAGTTTGTGGTGCGGTAACATTACACAATTATGTATTACCACCACTGGCAAAAAATGATTTGTATTCAGGGTGAAAAGACAGCAATGCTGCCAATGCCATTACCTACACATGTACATGTATTAACAAGAAAAGACAGTCTGACTGTAACTTTACTGCTCAAGAATAGTTAACACAAGATTGTTGGATAGAAATATTGGCTTTAACTTATACTTCATATACCAGTGCAAACATGTACATGTATGAAGTATTGTTTCAAGATGCCATTTACCTTCCTCCTGATCTCCCAAAGCTGACAGTTGTATCAACGTAGTCATGAATGACTGGTGTTTCCCCTGGACCACAAACATTTGGCTTAGGTTGACCCTGATGAGACTGAACACAATCTGCAGTTTGACTCTGGTGTCTGCAAGCTCGGCTGCTGGGTTGACTATTGGTGTGAGATGGTGTGAGGAGTTTGGATAACGGATGTAACGCTGCAATCTGTGGCTTTGTGTTTTCAAGGGAAGTCGGCCTGATTGCTATAACTCTAATGAGAAAAAAAATTAGTGAGAATGTGACAAATTCATAGCATGTAGACAACGTAATGTATCATACACAGGTGATCAACATGTACATGTAGGTTCGATTCCTGGTCAAGGTCACGTGTGAGTAAAGTTGCCAAGGGGCTGGGGCAGGGTGCAACGGTTTTCTTCCCTCCAGAAAATCAATACTGCTTATAGGTATGGGCTGCATGGGGGCAGCCCTTGGCATAACCATGTTGTAGCAGCATGCTTCATATAATTCTGCCTTGTAGCTATGCCAAAGGTTGACTCGCCCACCTCTTCCCCTCTAGAGAATGTCAGTGGAAAATAAAATAAACCTTCTATTACCACTAAACATTAAACCACAGCACTTCAGAGAAATGTCTGTAGTATTTCTTGGACCCTAAATTTTTCAACAGCAAACCACAAACATCTATGAACATGGATGCAATCCTGAATGGCTTGAAACAAAAATGTGCAAATCCAGCAAGAAGTATTTACATCCAGGTGCAGAAGTACCGGTATCTTTGACCTACTTTGAAAATATTTTTTCAAATTTGCTCACTGAGTTACATGTATATTACTATTTATGATAAACAAATCAATGTACATGTACATTTACAATCCAAATGATCTCACAAAAATGACTATTAAAGCCAAAAAAAAATAGTTCTACATCTGATCACATGCCTCTCAAAACGAAAGTTGACAGGTCAGTTTTAGCCATTTTTTGGTGCTGATTGAATGGGGTATACATGTAGGTAAATTTTTCCTTAGACTAGTTTCCATGAGTACTTTGAGAGCTACACGTATTAAAGCATTTCCACAGACACTGAAAAAAAAACTTGCCCTAATCTACGCACTAACTGGTTCTTAAAAATAATGGAGCATTCAGGTCATGTAGAATGCTGATAATGATGGGAAACTGGCTAACATTTTAGCAAGCAAACTCCAAGTATCGGAGGGCGGGCAATGAACCTTGTCCTCTTGTGGCAGGAAATTTTGTGGAAAAAATGCTCACTTCAAGTACAAAGAATACACCCTCAAATTTAGTTCATGTACTGTACATGTACATTGGAAAATACACAGGTAAGAGATCAGGGTCTGTGAACTAACTTGCAGAAATTTTCTTGCTCTTTTAATGTTTTTACAGCAGCATATGTGAGCATGTAGCGGTAGTTCAATGACTCTACATGTACATGTACTTGGCGAGGATGCATAGACTGGCTGTCACATTGCCATTGTGCATTCTTTGGCAATGGCATGGCGAGAACCAGTACAGCATTGCTTCACAACATTGAGCATTACTGCGCATGTTTTCATCACTACAACACCCAACCATGAAGGGAACTAGTGAAAACAGCTAGGTCTCTTCTCAAAATATGCGAGTCTAAGTAGGCAAGCATACATGTACATGTATCAATGCAAATGTCTTAGACATAAAACAGTGGCTGAGAGACAGAAAACAACAGGACTGTTTTTAACTTGCCAATAAAATTTTTAGGATTGCGCCAAACATTAGGGTCAGTCAGGAAGCTGGAAGCAGAACTATGGTATTTTTGGACCTAAGTTGAACTCCTTAGATCTTATTTTCACAATTCCAGTAAAATTTCATCTCAAAACAATAAGTTCTTATCCAATATATGGATAACAATAACTACTCTTATTGTGTAGACACTTGGAGCTGACAGCATATATTTCTGTAGTCAAATGTTTTTACACTGTACCTTATACATGTAGTTGGTCCTAAAGGAGGTTTCAAGCCACTTCTATTCCCATGTCCATGGTCCCCTTTGTGCCTTGTATCATTTTTCTCATCACTTTGCAGACAAGTCAGAGTCATGTTGAACCGTTGAATGGCTGTGTCTATCATGTGCTCTGGTTCTGACTTCAGATTCTTGGCTTTTTTCAGAATGTCCAGGCACTTGTCCCTGTTGCCTAGAATTAGGAGGGCAAATTGAGTCAAGACTTGCCAAAGAGATTGCCATATTAGATGACATTGAAGAATCCATAAACACATCATTTCTCAACTATTACAGTTACAATCTCTCTGCTTTGCAAAAGAGGATTACATGCTGGATGCCTGAACATGATAAAAACCGAGGTGGTAGAGAGGTCATGCATATGCATTTAACACACGGGGCTACTGTACATGTACATCACTTTAACAACGTTATCAGCTACATGTACATGTATTGGGCAGTTCAACAGCAGTAATGTTACAAGTGTGTCCCCTCCGGTGGTGCTTCACTGACTCATTTTCAAGAGAAACCCTTGTCTTGAACTTTGCAAAGTCTCTTCTAATACCCAGCAGACACCGCAACCTTTTACCCAGACAATGGCAAAACCCCAGAATCAGAATACAAAGATACAAAGATCCGCCAGTGCTGATAATGATTCAAGCTCTCAATAATGAACTCTCACAATCTGGTTCTCCTTTTTTATTCTAGGCACGTGTTTGTTCTGAATACATTTATTTTTTTATCTTTGAGGTGTAAAGTTTTAACTTAAATATTCTAAATGTTTGATTTATAGACTTTAATTCTTTACGGTCCAATTGTGTGTCGTCTCTTTTATTGTACACCAAAGTGTTTAAGTTTCTGGAGTGAACTTCATATTTGGTCACATGGTTTTATTTTATTAAAAACCAGAATGAATAAATAAATGAATGGCACAGGCATTTCCCATCATTCATTCTCTTTTAATTATGCACAAAATTAATGTAGACACAAATGAATGCAGAGCTGGCTAAGACTATGTCAAAGACCATGGATCTTTTCATATCCAGCATGCAAAGCCACTCCAAGCATTATGTTCCTAGTCATCAAATACATGTTTTCTAATGGAAAACTAATCTGGATATTCAGAACTAAAACAGACCTACATCTATGTGTGTCAGCCTGTCATAATTTCACATTCACAACATGACGGCAGGGCTATTCCTTTGCTGACCCGCCAATGTTCATTTGTTGATACCTGTATTTCAAAGTAAAGCTGTGTCGTTATTACCTTGATCAAGCTCAAACTGGGCAGCCTCCACATGGACAATAGCTAAGGTCTTTATGTTGGCTCTTGCATACTTGAAAAACATGCGAGCATCATCTGGATCATGGGTCCTGCAAAAACAACATGCACAGTACATGCACATGAACTAGCTCTGTACAGATATCCTCAATGCAGTGAACAAGTTAATTGTACTGTTTGTACAAGCAATGCCATTCTCCCAAGAAAAGCTGGTTTTCCTTATTCAAGAGGCTGGCAAAATTATTTCAACACTTGGATATTAGACCGGTTATCCCGTATTAGAATGGTTATTCTGAAATTTGAATATATGAGAGTGAAAATCAATGATATAAAAAGGGCAAATTAATTTGATTACCGGTGTTTGGTTGTAAACTTCTATTGTTAAAGCATTCAAGGTGTTAAAGAGTACAACTTGAAGGCAGGTGAAGGCATGGGCAAAGCAATAAGGCCCAAATAAGTTTTCCTTCTTTCTTTGTTTCTTTTATTTACTTTCAGTAAAAGCACGTTTTGTTTCTGCTTTTGCATTTATGTGTGTAAACAGTTTACCAGAAATAAATGAGTACAATGTATACATTTCTTAGACATTTCAAGCATCAGTCCCTGTAACTGTCTAAACACTTTACACCACATTTCAACCACCGACAGTTTGATTGCTATAATGCAACATTTTGAAGACAAGCTTAAACAGTATACATACATGTACACGTACTTACATTTTGAGTTTGGCAAAATTGATACAGATCTGTGCATAGGCTGGATTGGTCTTGTTCTTGTCTAGAGCAATGTGTTTGAGGGCACCATTGTACACACTGCAGAGTGACCTATATCTGTTGGTCGTGTCTGAGAGGTGAGGGTCTTTCTCAAGGCGCTGAAGGTACACAAGCCAGTCCTCCGGCCGACAACCAGCTTCCATGATCCGTTGGACTTGCACGGTGTGATCTGACATGTACAAGGAAAATGGTTGCCAGCTCTTAGCCACTGTTGTTGCCAAGCATTCAATTTCACGTACTAATGTCACCTGTAACCCTGAGCAACTAACCAAACAAACTGTGTGCAGTAGTACATTCAGCACCATATGTACACTCTGTGTACGTGTGTAAAATTTGCTAACTGCAACCCTGCAGTTACAATGTACATGTACATGTATGCTCCTCTTCGTTTATAACATGTACATCAACAGTTTAGAACATTTGGCCTTTGTACATGTACAGTGAACGTCATCATGAAAACAAAAAATGGTCAAAATGTATAAACTTAACTTTCTCTAATTTAACTGACATGCGATTGACTCTGTTTTCCAGTCTTCTCCTAAAAATAAATGCCCTTCACCAAGAGAACAAGAGCTGGAATACATGTACTTGAACTGTGTCAAATTTCACTTAATCCAACAAGGAATAACTTCAAGAAATTTTACCTAAATTCTAAATGCAGCAACAACTTTAACATTTATCTTATAACTTAAATTTGTATTTGTACAAGGAACAAAATATACCCAGGTATTGCAAATTTCATTCTCTTGGCGAACCAAGTCTTAATTGTTGATGTCTGAAACAGTTCAAAGGATAGCTGCAATCAATGTGTTTAATATAAACCTTCAAGGTGCACCTTTCTGTCTCAGATAACCTTATTTTAAACTTCTTTCACTATTTCAAAGGGTATTTTACTTTGGTCTTTAGTTAAGCCCACTTGGAAGAAAGTCCCCTTTAAGGAGCCAAATGTTCTCTCTTTTAGGGAACTGAGTTTGTCTCCAAATACAAAAGTGAAGGGAATTCTGAGTTGAAGGACAGTCTCTGAGTTCTGTCTTGGGATTACATTGTATCTACTGTCTTGGGGTTATTTTTTAATGTCGCATTAAATTTTTTGCTCTAATTTTTGGTAAACGACAATTGTAATACACAGTGTACTTTGTTATGGGAGGACGCCATGTTTGTTAATGTTTTATACCCAGTACGGTATGGGTCATGTGACTTAGCAGGCACCATCGGTCTATATTCAGATATTACTTAGTCACACTTACATGACTTGGGCCGTGAGAATAGAAGTGGTAGATTTGCGTCCTAAAAATTTCAAAAATGCATGAGGCATTTTTTCATCATTCATTATTTATTTCAACCTCAAAGTACAGGCACTTTTCAAGTACATGAACATGTATAATATTGACAAACTACAACCAAAAGCCGTGGTGAGGAATGAGCACCTGTAGGCCCTTCAACAGTTCATGGATCAGGTCAAATAGGGATCCTCACAAAAAGGACCGGCAGTAACCCTACCAAACAAACTGTGTCAATTTCCATAAAATGATGAAATACCGGTAGCACATCACTACATGTACTTTGATACTACTTGGATAGATTGTATGTTCCACTAACAATTCTGTTGCATACACCTCTGCATTTTTCACATCTAATTTCTGCAAAAATTCATTGAATGCTGTTAATTTAGGCTCATCACGCAAAGACTTGGCACATGTTTCTATGAGCTGACATGCTTTGCACAGTCCCTGCATGGCTAATCATAAAGTCCACAGAATTAACAAACAGTGAAACACTGCAATGAGCATACATGTACATGTAGCTAACCCCTAATCACAATGGTCCCATGCACGGCCATTCCTCCTGATATCTTGGTACATGTTTATACCGCTGTCGTTGGTACTGTTTCTTTCCTTTGCTTTTGGCATTTTGTATTAATTGTGTTGTATTGATTTTTATTGTCTTTGATTTTCATTGAAAGCAATCACAACAAATGCCGTTGTTGACATCGATGCCACAAAAGTCATGCTTCGCTAGTACATGGTTCTCCTACACATGCAATATCTGAAGTGTATGCAGTACGGGAACCAGTGACAGTATAACATACTTTAACAAGTCCTCCAAATATTTGTGCTGTTTTAATTTAAATGGAGTAATCAATTACAAGTTTGTAGTCAATAACAAAACAAACAATATTAAAACTGACCCTAAAAGTGACAAAAATTGCTTGAATTGTTTGTAATAATATACTGTATTAAACAAACTTTTAAAAAAAATCTTGCACACTACTGAGCACAACACATTGGTGCAAGTTGACGTGACTGCACTGACACAGTACTGTCTGCATGTGTGATGAGTGTTGGATGGCAAAGATTCTACTCAAATTTCTAATTTGCACTAGAAAATTTTGAACTTAATTTTTTAACTTCGGACTTAAGCTAATTTAGTAATTAGATTTAGGCCTATATGGAAAACAATTAATAATTTGCCCCTTTTTGAAAACTGCACCCAGAAAATTAGTGTGCCGCTCATGTCAATGAGGATGGAAATTACATCCTCCTACATGTACCTGGGCTAAGTTGGTTGAAACGGTCCTTGATCGAACTTGCCGGTGAATAATAAGCCTTATCACAAATACTGCATGCCATGTACGCGTGATTTGCTCCTTTTTCTTTCCCACAATGCCTTTCTACTATTGTGCAAAATCACCCATGCAGTATTTGCAATAACTTGAATAAGGCTTATGGACAGACACAATTTATGCATTCATCCGGGAGCTTTTGCAACTTAAGGTCACAGTGAGCAGGTGAGGTGCAAACAGTGAAACACTGTTGACTTGTTGATGCAAATTAATGTCATGAACATTATGTCACCGCGAAAGGCTCCCAGATGTCACACTCCGACTGTCCATGGAGGTAGATTCTACCTCCATGGACTGTCAGACAGTTGTATCAACCTTGATTCACACCCGGAACACGTTATTTGAGAGCAAAAAATCAACAAAAATAGCCTTAGTCCAAAATGAAGAATTCCTACTAGTAGGCCTAGGCCGTTTGACTCTTGCATGAGAGTACTGGTGCAACTTTGTCACTAAGTTTTTCTAATCACCGATCTAACGTACATGTAAATGTTTGTACGTTTAGCTCAGGTTGGACGACGTCTACATTCATTGTGAGTCCAATGTAATGTGGACGTCGTCCGACCTGGGCTAATTGTACGTCCTACACGACAGTCGTGGCCTGGCCGACGTGGCCGAGGGATTTTGCACGTCATTACCTACACAACAATCTTTGCTAGCTTCCATGGTGTATGTTCACTTCTGCACTCGTTACTTACCCATTGCAATAAGCAATAAATTACTCCGGTGAAAAATTTGGGATATAACGTTAGAAGACCGTGCAGTATCTGTCGAAATGCACCCGTACCCGGCCGTCAAAGCAATTAAACGGCCCGCGAATCACATGACCATGCTGCGTGTTTTGATTGGGCATCGGCTATTACAACCGCTGTTGCAGTAAACAACAGAGGGCGCAAATCTCCCAAGCGGTTATGGGTGCACCACTACAAATAAATTCCAATAGACAGCAGTGATAAATCCCCATACTTCACAAATATTTTAAAAATACTCACAACTCTCACAGGTGTTCAAGCTGCACAGAAAAATAATGTTCCACATGTCCTCTTTCATTTTCCTTTCAANTTTGAGAAATTTTCAGCAGAAGCAGACCACCCCTAAGATGCAGAAAACGTCCCTGTCCAGAAAAGTAGCCATTTTGAAAAACCCTCCCTCGGCAAAATGGCTCAAATAGTGCCACTTTCAAACCCGATTGCATCCAAATTGCTCAGAATTGGAAGCCCTGAGTCCGGCCCAGAGGTCCAGTCTCATATTTCTTCAATTTCTCAGTTCCATGGCTCTCAGGACCCTCTAATATAGATTATTAATGAGCTCGGCGGACATATTTCTGGCCTAAATACGAGGGTGCACCCTTATTTATGTCTGTGGCCCAGGCATCTTCCAGACGTCCTCCTAACAGAGACCAGTCTGCTTGATCGCAGACGTGGTGCAAAACTGATATCAGTGTTTAATCACCTTTATTTATTTATTACCGTATTATCACAAAGCAAACAAGGTCTAAATACCTGTTGTCATTTGAAGTAAAAAGAAGGTGGTAGTTTTTCAATTCTTAGAAAATGCTTTATCAAGGTAGGCCTATGCACGCGAGTACACTGTTTTACCATTTTTTCAGAATTACTACTTTGTGCTGTAAAACGTAGATCCCACATTCACCCCAAAATGTTGCATTTATTTTGTCTTTTGTGAAATCTAACAAAAGTATTCATTGTGCAAATTGAATGAATGCCTAGACTACCCCTCTGCCCGGACGCAAAATGTTTTTCAGTACACAATACAATACGCTGGGCCCGGACGGGGAACCTAGTGAATAAAAACTATTGACCTGGCACTGGATGAGTTTTCCTTTCAGGTTGCAGGCAATAAATGAGACCAATAAGCTTCCTGCACGGAGCGGATTACGATTGTATGGAATTCCATATCTGCCGTCGCCCGTCACCCGTCGCATTTTGCTTTTTGTTGTGTCCCAATTCTGCCATTTACCAGTTCCAAACATTTTCCGTCGTGCGTCGCCCGTCGTGCGTCGTGCGTCGCCCATCAAATGGGTTGCATAGGACCTGCAAAAGCTGGGGTTTAACAAATGACAATGTGATGATTCCATTCACTTCTAGGATCTTTTCCGAATAAGGTAAGTACAAATCCCACCTGCAAAGCATATACTAGTCCCATAATTAATTCCAATAATGCTAGACTACCCCTGCCCCTTGACAAGAAAATATCGCCTCTCTGAGAATTCAACCAAGTGTTGTTTTTTTTTTGGAAAAACATTTTCAGCAAAAAAAAATCCGGCCAACTTATCCACAGTGTTATTCTAATTTGCATACTGTAAAAATGTGCCGACTTGTTTTCATCAAATTCCAGGAAGAAACCTGCCAACCGATACAGATAGTCCACTTGCCCTCTCAATTTCACCTTGAAATCCAGAAATACTAGACGTGCTGTGGATAACAAACTGTTTATTAAATGTATTGTTAGGGGGCAATTACTACTTGGTTTAAGTTTCAGAAAATATGACGTTGTGGGTGTGTATGCCATGGAGGATA